GAAAAAGTGTAAGGACACTGTGTTTACATTGGAGCTATCACAACCAACAACTTGTATATGTTTACCAGTTTCTTAACTTAAGCTGTCTGAAACTAATTTTTCTGCCTCTTGACATTTTCAATTTTGTTATTTTTTAATTCAATTTTGTATAAATTTTGTATACATTTTCAATTTGTGTTATTTTTTAATTCAATTTTGTATAAGTCATCATTCTCAGCTTCATGATCACATGATACTTCATAGTATTCTTCTCAATTACCTGATTTATTATATTTGCCTATGTTTATCTCTATAATGAATAGCCGAATGAATATTATTATTTTTAGTGCGCATAGTTACACATTGTTACGCCTATTGTTCGTTTTGTTAATTACGGTTCTCTATTATGTAAAATACACTATTTCTTTGCTTCTAGAATTTTCCAAGCGCAGTTATATATTCCACGCGGTCATTCGAGTAAAATCAGCAAGCAAATTGGAGCTGATACTTATTTTAAAGAAGAATTAATGTTGTTTATTTTTTAAAATAAAAATTTAAATAATTGTTAGTTTGTTATGTATATATATATGTATATATATATGTATTTTCTCTAAGTAAAAATAATTGAGAATAAAAAAATAAAAAAAATTCTTCTGGAATTTGTCAAAAGGGTGTTGTGTTATTCTTCATTTTAAGGTATCTAAATATGTATTTATTTTTCATTTTTTAGAATAAGTTAGAACTAAATTGACTGGTAAAATAGTTTTTTTAGTACAATGTTTCTTTTTTAAGAAAATAGTTTTGTCGTTAGTCTTTTTAAAACATTTTAAGCAGTATTTGTTTTATTTTTTAGAGCAGTTAAGAGGAGCTGATTGCTTTTTTAGTAAGTTCAAGTTATTTTCTTATACATAAATTAAGGTTTTCGATTTATTTCAGTCTATTTTATATTTCTCTTTATCTACATATATATATTCTCTAAGGAAAAATAATAAGGGATAAAAAAATTAAAAAAATTTCTTCTGGAATTTATCAAAAGAGTGTTGTGTTATGCTTCATTTTAAGGTATCTAAATATGTATTTATTAGAAATTTTTTTAAACCAAGTTTAAAAAAGTTGTTAAACCAAGGAAATTGTAGAGATTTATTTATCAATATATACTATAAATTATATAAGAATATTGGAGGGAGTAAGTTAAAAAGTATTTTTAAATTTTTAAAAAAAAATAAAAATACTTTTCAATATATATCTGTTTTTTTTAAGGTAGATTTAAAGTTTCAGGTTTTCAAAATTGTAAATCTTTTCAATGTATAAATAGACATTAAGTATTTCTAAGTAGACATTACGTATATATAAAATCTTTTTAAAATTTAATAAGTAATTATTTGTTTAAATAAGTAATTAATTGTTTATAATTTATTAAGATTTAAATTATTAGAAAATTCATGTTTACAGAGTTGTTATTAATCATAATCGAGTTGTTAAACCAAAGAAATTGTAGGGGTTTATTTATTAAATATATACTATATATATTATATAAAAAATTATTTATATATATATATATATATATATATATATATATATATATATATATATATATATATATATATATATATATATATATATATATATATATATAATATATATATATATATATATATATATATATATATATATATATATATATTTATATATATATATATATATATATAACTATATATATCCTTGGAGTTGCGGCAGCATAATAGTGTGTTAGGAGAAAAAAATTTATAAACCCGTGTTAATAACCTGTTTTCTATTGTACATAATGCATTAATAAGTTTTATTACGTGTTTTGTTCAATGTTTTCTCCCAACGCATGAACTATGACGCTGTTGCAGTTTTTTTTTTTTTTATTAGAAATAAAATAAATTTTAATAAGTTTTTTGCTGATGTGGTTGCAGGTTTTTCTTAACTTCTATCAAATAAACTTAAGAAACCTGTATTACTTTTGATGATGGCAAATTAATTTTATTTTGCATTTGTTTGGTTTCTTTATTTATATTTGTTTTGAGAATTTTTTTTTTTAATTTTTCGAGTATGATTTTTTTAGTTATTAAGTTTTTTTATTTTATTGTTAACTTTAGATTAGTAAAAAAAAAGAAATAATTAGTGTTGCTTTGATAAATATGTTTAATGAAAATGATGACATTGAAATGGATGATAGGCAGATGAAGTTATGTATTTACAAGATGATGTAAGTGCTATAAGGCGTGTTGAAAATAATCATAGACGAAATGAAAGAAATAGACTTAAGCGAGATGAAATTAATTGTTTACAAAATGAAAGAAATAGGCTCGATCGAGATAATGTTAATCGTCACCAAAATGAAAGAAATAGGCTCGATCGAGATAATGTTAATCTACAGCAACTGCTGCAGTATCACAATAGGTTACCAAAAGCAGGTATACTGTTTTCCAGTTGTTGTTTTGTTTTTCATATATATCTACTTATCTATATAATACTATAGTACGATTTTTTATATCTCATTCATTTTTTTTTCTTTATCTTTAAGTGTTAATAATTTTATTCTTTGAATGAGATAAGTTAAACAAGTCGGCTTTCAATTAAAGATATTGATTTCAAAATTGAACACTATTGGCAAAATGCTTACAAAATTAGGTAGTTTTTAAAAATCTTTTTAAATATACTTTTTTAATATACTTTTTTATAACAATCCTACTAATATGGAATCATGTAGCTTTTTAAATATGTTTAATTGTCGTCCCTATCAGTAATAAATATTTTAAATTATTTGATATGGTTTTCTTTACAATAGGCTGTGCTTGGCTCCTCGGTGCTGTAAATGGTGGCTTCAACTTTGTTTTTTTAAGAAAAATGTGTTTTATATATGCTTCTGTTTTAAAATATTTTTGTTACATATTTAACTATATATCATGTAAATAAATTTCTTTTAAAGATATGTAAACTTGATACTTGCTTTTTTACGGATTTTCAAAAAGTGAACAAAGATTTAAATATATTTTTTAATTGTTTTATATGATTTTATAAGTTAAGGCAAAATGTATTTCGGACATTTTATAAAATTAGTATAGATATGGATTGGATGTATGCTGAAATAAATATGTTGATACACGTTAGCGATTAAAGTAAATCCATATATTCCTTTATTGTTCTTTTATAAACAAGTTTCTGCTTTAATTACTAATTAAAAAAAAAGGTTGGTTTAATAATAATCTTTGTCATAATATAGGATCCGTATGCAGGGCTAAGCCCTTTTGGGAATTGCGATATATTTTTCAACTTATAGTTTTTCTGGATAACTAACTTTTATGCCTACAAGTTTGGGTGTAATATTTTAGATGTTTTAAAAATATTTAAAAAATATATTAATAACATTTAAAAGGTTCATGTGCGATAGTGACATATTTTTAAGCTCTTCACTCAGTAAAATGAAAAGTTTAAAAAAAAAAGAAACGACTCAGCTTAAAGCAAAATTAAGAGTAGATTATATTCCCAATATTTACCTAAACAATTTTGCGGAATTTGAAAATTTGACATCGATGTTCTGTGCATATAATTCAAGTCATTTTTAACTACTACATGGTTGTGATTTGCGCATTCAATGTCTGAACATTGCAAAAGAAATGGTTAACTTTATCTTTAATGAAGCTAAGAGTTCTCTTAAACTAAGAAGCCAAGAAAAATAAAAGTGAGCTCAACTAAAAAAAATGTCTCAATAAATTTATATTTTATTAGAGAAAGTAAATAAAGATCAAATTGTTAGTAATGATTTATTTAGGGGAAGTGGGGGCATAACCGCCCCCGTAACGTTTGAATAAATGTTATATAAAAATAAAAACGAAATGTGTTTTTTTAGCAGTTTATTTCAATAGCCGCATCATTAGGCTTTAAATCGATGCATTTAAGAAAAAAATTTAACGGGTTTTGAAAATGTTATTACACAAAAATTGCACTTAGTGAAAAAAACGGTTTTGCCCCCATTGTGAGGCACAACTGCACCCTCACAAAAATCGTTGGGGGTTCACTGTTCTAGGTACATTTTCTTTACAATTGTCATAGCTCAGATTATTTGCTGATTTTGTTGCACGTTTGTATACTGTGTAGGCATTCTTTGTACTTACAATCTCAGTTTTCTTATTCGAAATACTCTTAGCTTTATTTTAATTCAAAAACTCATTTATAAAAATTAAATAGGAAAATACGAAATCTAATTTCTAACATTTCAAAACAAAACTTTTCTAACATCTTTTCTAACAAAAAACAAAACTTTTTTAACAAAACTTTTCTTTCAAAACTTTTAGGACAAAACTTTTCTAACAAAAAAACTTTTCTAACATCTTTTTCTCAAAACAAAACTTTTCTAACATCTTAAACAACTTTTCTATCATCTCAAAGCAAAACTATTTAAGTTTATACATGAACTCATTCAAATGTGACAATTGTAATTGTTGTTATTTGTAATTACATAACTTTGATAAATAATAAAAGTATGCGGTTGTGCCTCCTGTGCGTCTATGCGGTTCTGCCCCAGTGGACAGTTTTTAGAAAGAATTCATTTTCATAGCTTGCTTATTAGGTTATGTTGATATCAAAAATGGTTTTAACTTGATGAATAAACGCTGATAACACATATCTTTAACACTAAAATCAAATAATGCTTTATCCTCCAAAACAAGGTCTTTAAAAATATATAATTTGACATAATATATATTTTGACATAAGAAAAATGAAGAAAACTGTTTTACTAATGTGTGGTAGTTTTTTTGCCAGATTAGATAATATTTTTCAAAGAGAAATGTTAAAAAACGGTTGTGCCTCCATATGCGGTTATGCCCCCACTTCCCCTACTACTAACCCGTATCACGGGTTGCTTACTGCTAGTATTATATTATAATACTAGCCTCTTTATTTTATAAAACTTGCCTCTGTTTTTCAGCGGTATTTTTATTATTTAAATTATTAATAGTCTAGTTATTTGATCATGTAAGAAATTTATTTACCTTTGTAGAACTTTCTTTTTTATCGCACATTTACAATTTGCAATTATATCTCTAGAAATCATCTACGCCAGAAGAACAATTGTCAAATATTGACGGAATAATTTCAATAAATTTTTGATATTGAACTGTATTAGATTTTAATAGGCTTAAACTAGACCTTTTGTTTATTATGACAGTAAGCTTAATTTACTGTTTCAAGATAAAGAGAATGAATTTACTGTACCATAGTTCTAATATAGCATTTGTGATGTTATCAATAATTATAGCATTCTGTGCATTTTTTTTTTAAGTTAGATAAAATATTGACAACTTGATAGACAGTAGGCAGCTCATTCTTTGATGATACTAACTACCAACAAATGTGTTGATATTTTTAAAAAATGTTAAAAAACTAAATAATAAATGTACAACAATAAAACTAAACTTTTAGTTTTAGTCCAAGCTTATTTTCTCCATTTTACTCTGTCTTTTGGAGTCTTGATAATATATGCTACAATCTACATACTTGAATTATTTTTCATGCACATTTATATTTTAAAAGTTCAAGTTTATTATTTAGACTCTTGACAAGAAATCTAAAAATTCTTATTTTTTAAAAGTAACTTTTGTATATGTTTTTATTTATTTTTAGTTAGTTTATTTTTATATTTATAATTTTTTTATAAAATTTTTTACTTTTCCTCTACTTTTTACCTTACTTTAGTTTTTTGGGCACAATGGAGTGATTGGTCAAACAGCAGCAATTCTTATGGATTTATGAACAGAACAAGAGAGTGTATTGATTTAAGCATTTTAGAGTGGATTTATGCTAACCAATCAGAATTATTGGAATATTCAGGTAATAAAATCCTGAAATTTTTACTTAACTTCATAACTTTCATTAATTGCCCACTTCAGAAAAAATTGATTAAAACCTTTTTTGAAAAATGTTATTCTGAATTCCTTGAATATCTGAATTCCTTGATCCAGGAGATCCAGGATCCTATAGTACAGTTATTCTTTAATCTATCAGTTTCAATAAGTTTTAGTATTAGAAAAATGATACTTTATCATGGCTTCGAGTTAACGATAAATTTAAATTTAATTTAAATAATTTAAATACTTATTAACTTCTTACTATATTGTGTATTACTTGTTATAATAATAATAACTTCAAATGTAAAATGAAAGGTGGATGCTTTTTAGTTTTTTGGTATTTTCTCCCCCTTTATTAAATTTATTTTCAGAATGAAATTTTTTATTTCCCCAAATTTATAATATAAAAAACATTAAATGTACAAACTAATTTAATATATTACCTATAAGTCTCTAATAATAAAAAATAACAAATAAAAATAACGAATATGTTCAAAATAAAATTTTCACAAATATCAAATTTTTTTAAAATTCCAATGCGTCTGAGTGTTATATAACTTATGCATAAATATTAGCATTATTTATATATATTATTCATATGTTATTAACAAATTAAATTTTTTTTTTTTGGTAACCTGTTGTCATATTGCAATTGCTGTTGTGATGCAGCAGTCCTTGATGGCGTTAGACAATGATGTCATCACGCTGGTTTTAAAATGTTATTAATTAAAAAAAAAATTATAAAATGTTTCAAAAAGCAAAACTATGAATAACCTAAAAAAAACTTAAAAATAATGTTTTAACTTTTACTGAATGTTAAGAATGAACAAAACTAACATCTTTTTTAATGATAGATATCAGCAGGAAAGTAAGCAAAGCTGTCTATCTACACAAAGCAAATAATATATTTGTAAGGATACATTAAATACTTGTAAGTAGAGGACAGAATGCACCCTAGGGTGCTGACTTTTAATACCTTTTATGAAACTTTAAAACGCTATAGCATTAGTGGATGAGTATTTATGTATATTAGTTGAATATATCATGATGTCTTTTTAAAAAAAAATGTCACCCACCACAGCAAACATTTTTTAATTAATTTTACATTAAATTTTAAAATTTCTATTTGAAATAATAGTATGTTATATTGTGTACATATATCAAATAAAGCAAAAAATAGAATAAATACACACTAAAAATTATCTCTAAAAACATCAACATATAATAATAAATTATAACAAATAATAGTATATTAGTAATATTATCTTTCATGCAAACCAAAGGTAATTAAATTTCATTTTTAAAATGTATATTTTTCAAATACTTTTCCTTTTAAATATAGAAAAATAATTTCAGTAACACTTTACTTTTTAGAATATTATATAAGCAATCAAAGACTTTAATTAACAAAAACAAGCAAAAATTGGACAAAGACTTTAGAAAAATATAGATTTCAAAAGGTTATTAGAAAATTTTTAAATTTAAACAATTTATAAATAATACCATCTAAAGCTACAATGAGTAGAAGGTTCCAATTAATTTTGTGTAAAAAAAAGTCAAAGTGCAAATTTGCATAGAACTAAGAGAATTGTGTCAAAAATTTCATTTTTTACTTTATTAAAGCAATCATAAAATAAAGTATAAGTCTAATAACAGATTATAATATTTTAGAACAATAAAAATCTGTTAACACTTTTTTTTTGATTGATATTACTAATTTATAAAAAATTGTTTGATATTACTAATTTATAAAAAATTTGAAAATGTCATACCAAAAAAGTTATAAAATGAAAATTAGTGCCTACATTTTGATTAAAAACATTTTAACTATAATGAACACCAAATAGTGGTTCAAAAAATTGTTAAAAATTAAGTAAAATTAGCTGTTCTTTTTATAACAGGTTGTAAATATGTGGATTCGATATTCCACACTGTGGATTTGATAATCCACAGTGTGTTTTATGTCCACATAATGTTTGTTCTGGACAGGTTGACACACTGAGGGGTGTTAGCCAGGGAAAAATCTTATACAGCCTTTTCATGATTTTGGGGGAAAAAAAAAGCATTGAAAAAAAGGTCATTGCACTTTATGTTATAAATGTAAAAAAAAAATTATCTAAATAGTATTAAATTTTATAAAAAAATTTTTTTGGAAGTTTTCACGATCCACTTGTAACTTTTTAAATACCTGAAACGACTTTTTAATTGATGACTGTCAACAAAAACATGATATATTTATCGAGTACAATATATATATTGTATGGAAAGTTTTTGAATATTTAAGTTTTTAAATATTCTTGTAAAAAAAATAATCTTTAAAAAGCTTTAATCTTTAAAGCTTTTTCTAACAACTGGCAGTCTGGTTTGTCTAAAAGTACAATAAAATTATCTAAGGCAGAAGATAAAAGAATATTGACGTTTTATAATTCCATTTTAATGAAGTAATTGGTTTTTCATATACTTTCTTTGTTGTGAAGTATTTCTCTTGAATTAAATTTTTCATCCTCACACTACTACTAAAACTAAAAGTTTCAACTACTTAAAAAAAATTTTTTTTTACTTTATTAAATAAATATTTGTTTTTTTGTTTATCTAATTTTATATTACAGTTTTTATCATTAAATTAATTTTATATGTAAATTTTGAATAAAATTAGAATGGTTTAAAATTATTTGCATTAAATTTGATATTTAAGTGATAATTAATAAAACTTTATTTAAATCAATAGCTTTGTTGCGAAGATACTAGATAGATAAGAAATCTGCTGGCTCGCCCATTTGGGTTGAATTAGATAGGCGGTATTTTGTCTAACTTTTTTTTCCGTGAACTTTGGGAAGTCAGACAAGAAAACTTTGGTTTTTGCGCAAATGCATTTTACAATCTTTAAGACTGAATATGTTTCTACGGCCTAACTTTGATGCTAGAAAAAATGCAATAGAATATTGCTTAGTTTTAGGGGGTTTCATTGTTTATATTCTAGCCTTTTTAAAAAATTTAAAATTAGTTCAAATGAAGTTTTTACAGTTTTGTTATAGTAAAAAGAAAGATGTTTTGGAGTAGAATTAGTAGAATTAAATTTTTTCTACATTTTCATTTAATTTTTTACTAAAGCAGTTTAGTACCTCATTCATTAAAAATGTTTAGCAAACATTTTTCAACATAATTTTTTGACCAAAGTATTATTGTCTGACCAAACTAAATGCATTTAAAGTCAGAAAAAATCAAATTAAATGTTATTAGAATATTCATTGCAATATGCTATTTTAGAACTCATATAGATTAGCAACAAAAGCATTATAAGGGGGAGAGTAAGGAAATATTGTAAAAAAATATTTTAGAATCATTTGAAATTATTGAGGTAAGTTCATATGCTTTGGTAAGGCAAGATTGCAATATAATTAACACTTTAAAAAATTTTAAATTTTTGCTTTTTTCTTTTCTTTTTTTGAAATTTTTCCCTCCCTAAGGCCGAGAAAGCCACTACAGCAATTGAGGCTAAATTTTGTGGTTATAATCCTCTCTGAACTCTATAACTCTGAAACACGAACCTCAATTAACAAGACCACTGCTTGGAGAAACAAGTTAAGCGCTATACTACCAGGGGCATGGTGGGGATTAACTTAGAATTTCTCTCTTATGATGCAAGGGCTCTACCACTAAACCACCACCACTTACTAAATTGAAAACACAATCAAGTGAGATTGGTAGGAAATTCTAATCAATAAGTAGAAGAGTATTTCAACGTAAAACTCCTCATTTAGATGGCTTGTTAGAAATTAATTTATTAAAAAAATAAAATTATTAGAAGTTTAAAATGCTTACCTAAAAACACTTGGTAATGTACATGAAATAATTGTTATTTGAATTGATTTATTTTAAAACTAATCAGTTACTAACTAGTTATCAAACTTATTCAACTTTTAATGCTAATCAATTTAATGCTAATACAATTTTAATGCTAATCAATTACTAACTAGTTATCAAACTTATTCAACTTATTCAACTTCTTCAATTTTATAAATTAAAGTTCTTTACCATTCCTAACCATGATAATATTATAGCCATTCTTATTAATTACATTGGACTTTAAACTAAAATGAATTTACATAAAAAACAAAAATACATGTTCACTCATAGCTTGTTTCTAATTTATAAAATAATTTTTAGTAACTATTTAAATTTTTAGTAACAATCAAAATAGGCAATTGGTTTTTTTTAAACACTATATTAAAAACATTAAATGCAATTATTTTAGAATATATGATAAACCTCTACAATTTACCTCATTAGATTAACAACTAGTTAACCATTAAGGTTAACCCTGGAAACATTTTTTAATAATCTAAATTTAAAAAAACAAATTTAACTTGACTTAAAAATTTTTTTACATTTCAATTGAACATTTTAAGTTTGCATTGTACAATGTTCCAATTCCAATTGTGTCTGACTCGTAATATATAATGTGCAATTCACACAATTCACACAAATATTGTAAACTTTATAATATTTAAAGTGTGCATTGTGCTATGTACATTATACAATTAAGAGTCACACACTTTCATAGCTATTAATTTTAAAGTTGAGGTTGTAATGTTTTTCAATCATGAGGATCTTTTTTTAGGGATCGAGACAAACTTGATGAGATAAGGTCCAAATAGTAATAAAATTGATTGAATTGATTAAAAGACTTGTATAGATGTATAGATATAGATAGTTTCTGTCACTTTTGTTTAAGTCTAAATTTTTCATAAAAGAAAGACCAATTTTGTTTAAGTCTACATTTTTCATAAAACAGAGATTTTGTTTACCCTAAATAAACTATAAATTATTAAATGAACAAGATTAAAAAAGTACTAAAATGCTCATCAAACAATGTCACAATTAAACTTTTAGTCATTATTTAATTATGTTAGTGTAAATATAGTTATTATATACTTTAAGTATAATTAATAACATAGCTTTATTGTTAAAATATTTTAAGAAAATGTATAAAAGTAACTTGAATACATTTTCTTAAAATATTTTAACAATAAAGTTATGTTGTTAGTTATATATAATAATGTGATTTTATGAAGATATTATTTATTTTACTGACTTTTATACCAAATGGATATCATATAGTAATGTTTTTATTATATCATGGGTTAATTTGAACTATTTATTTTAGAGTTTTTCATAATGGAAAAAACCACTTTATTGTCAAAAGGAAACCTGATTACAATTATAGAAAGACTTAATAAAGAATTCTCTGTGTCTTTTGATTTAAATCCAACATCTATAGTAAATGATCATTTTGGAAATGTTATACATTTGACTATTGAAAATGATATATCAACATATGGAGATAGAATTCCAGCAGTGTTCTTTATTCCTGGTGCTTCTAGGTTACACATTTGTGCAGCAATTAATAATATTCCTAATAATTGTTTAAATCAAACGTCTGATTTAAAACTTGGTATGTGGTCTTCATTAAAAATATCACAAGAGTTGATAAAAGGAAAATACAATTACTCAATTCAATTAAATAATGAAATACTTTTAAATGTTGAAAACCAAGATGCAAGAGAATTTTTGAATGTGAAAGTATATGTTTCTGACCCTTGGTTTGATGCGTCGCCTGCTTATATTAGAAATCTAAAAATCATTAATGGAAATTCAGGTAAAATAAAGCATGAATTAAATTTAATATTTTAATAATTAAGTTTTCAAAAATATATACTTTTAACAAACTTTGTATGTAATTTTTAGTTGTAAACTAAGTTATTAAAATATCAAAACTTATTATTTTTGGTCAGATTTCTACATTTGAAGAAGATCTGAAGAATAATTTTTGGAAAAATATAATTTCTTTAATATTTAATCTTTTTTTTATTCTTTTGTTATAAATTGTGTTCTGTTAGACAGAGTAGACAGGACATATAACTTAATCTACCAATTAATTAATAAGTAATAACAGTATTATTATTAACAACTAATTGATAACTAAATAATAAGTTTATACCAACTAATACAAGTATGCACACAAAATTTTTTATATATATATATATATATATATATATATATATATATATATATATATATATATATATATATATATATATATATATATGCAATAGACAACCCATCAAATAAAAGTATAGTTTTACATTTTTTACAAAATTGTTGTAGATACCTGTTTTTTAAAATTTAATTTGAAAAGATGTATAAATAATTTGATAATTACTAAATTTAGTCTTAAGAAAACAAAAGGTTTGGTTTGTATTTGTTCATATAAGGTATTATAAATAAAAATTTCCACTATAAATACTTTAATCAATTTGAATGCAAGAAAGTGTAAGTAAAAGTATAGATCATATTTTTTCAAAATTGCATAAAGTTAAGTCAGAGTTGTAGAATTTGAATGTTCTAATTTAATTTGTCTCAAAGTACTGAGAAGCTTTATGTGATTTATGTATGGTGTTATCTTCTTGTAAAATGACATAAAAACAATTTTTTGACCTAAACCAATTTTAGCTACAGCATTATTGAGATTAAAGTGTCAGGTAACAACCATCTGTCATTTAAAAAACTATTTTGAGTAAATTTGTGTCACCCATAGAAATTCATGAAAAATTCATGTTTTAATCCTCTACCATGCTTTTCAGTAGTTTTATTTTTTTTAAATTTTATGAAATTTTGGACTTATCATACCATTCAATTGTGTCCCAAAATGAATCTGGCAGTTTAGCAAGTTAAAGTCATTTTTACAGTTCATATTTCTAGTCTTTGTCTGCTTTTTATTAACAAAATATTTTTAACTAAATGGTTTTGCTGTCATATAATTGATTTATTGCCTCCACCATAGAGTTTATTCCATGTCTTTTTATTATTTGTGACTTTACTTTTATACACCTTATAGATTTTTCTAGCTTTTTGAATTGAAATAGAATACTTTTTCTTTTCTCTTTGTTAGTCATTCCATTTTATTCACCTGTAACAATCATTTTTTGTTCTATGACTGGTTTCCACGTTGTTACAATATTTTGGCTTAAGGGAATGTAATTGGTTTGTCAAATATAAATACAAGAATGCCTGTTTAAATGCTTTTTATCTTAATTTTTATATAAATACATTTTGATGGAATACAAAATTTGATCAAAAATTTTCTTAAAATTTAATTGTAAATTATGTACCTATTAAAAGTAATTTTTATGTCAAATCTTTTTGAGCTTGAAAGATACTTTAATCAATCTTTTTGAGCTTTAAAGATACAGCCATATGATGCTTAAAATGACCAGCTATTTATCTTTAAAACACCTGAATGAACGAGACAACTGCTTTAAAGAAACAAACAATTCATTCAGGGTAGAGAACCGCTATAAACATGGCATTGATTATGAATATGTAGTAAGTTGATTGTTAATATGTAATAAATTATAGGTTTTAAGTAGCTTGAAATTGTGATAATTTAAAATAAAGTAAATTTACTGGTAAATTTTGATTCAAAATTTTCCTAAAAAATTTTCCTGTAAATTTACCGTTATATTTTTCATCTGAAAAATTAAATTTTCATTTGAAAAAACAAATTTTTTTTTCTAAGAAAACTTATGGGGCATTTGCACATATTAAGTTGTTTCCATGACTTTAACCTAACCAATAAAGATTACTTGTTTTGAGTACCTACGCGTTGTTCAAATCAGTTAGGGGGTTGGAAATAGAATATGGAGCCTAGAATTCAATTAATCAGCAATTTTTGCCTCTTCCTTCACTCAATACACTTTTTTAAAACTCATTTCTCAATATTCCTCTGCAAACAAAAAATGTAAACAGAATATGTTTGTTTCATGATTTTTGGTGTGGATATGATAAAGAGCTTTACTCATTAAATGGAATTAGTTAAAAATGTAGAAGTACCAAAGAAAGATAAGCAAATGAGACCCTGTTGTATTGAATGGGAAATGAAAAGTAAGCAGCAATCTTAAATATAATAAGGTTTTACTGCTACTAATTTTTTATATTTTAAGTTAAATGTTGTTTTTTAAATTTACACATTTTTTACAATTTACACTTAACCCTTTCTTTCCCAATGTTGCCATTTGGCAATGCAAATTTTATATTCAAAAATCAAAAATCCTTTTTAATCTTTTTTTTAATTTTTAGTAATGTTTAAATTTTGCTACTTTCTGCTAGATGGCAACATGTGCAATTAAAAAATGAACGCACCGATTAGCAGTTGTATTTTAAAAATATTATATGTCATTGTAACGTTTTTTTTTTTAATTTCATATATCGCGAAAGAAAGAGTTAATGACACTCGTGTGGTATATCGGCTGCACCAGTCTGGCTAAAGTCCTCCCATTTTGTCTTGACTTTTTTTTTTTATAGAGACAATTTTATCCCTCTCTAAAACCAGGTATTTTTTTTTATGTTGCATGTTTAGAAAGGGTTTTAATTTTATATTTTTATTCTATAGTTTATAAACTATAATCTGGTGTTATTTATACTCATCACATGTGCATAAAATAGAATTTCAAGTTTGTTAAAGATAGATAAAATGTCAGTAGATTAAACAAACGTATATATAACAAAATATATATTTTAACAGCTGTATTAAAGGTGATAAAATAAAGCTTTTAACACATAATGAATATTATTTGTTTTATTCACCTATTAACATGGCCTTTGTTTTTAATAAAAAATTAAACAAATTAATTTACTAAATTTAATGGAAAATTTTCTGGTAAATTAATTTGTAAATTTCACCTTCGCAACACAAGCTTAGAATAAATTTTTGCCACACAAAACATTGATGATATTAGTGACATTTTGTGTAAAATACTTATTTTTTATATATCACAGTTTTCAGAAATTCTCTTGCAAATTTCTTCAATACAATCTAAAAACTTTAAATAAATAAATTAAAAAAAAAACTGGGCATGAGCATTTGCAGGCTTGCTGTAAAATAAAGTAAAAATTATGAGTTCCATGCTTTTTTAACAATGAGGGAGAAAGTTAAAAAGTCTGAAATGTATATTTTGTTAATAAATGTTTTTTTAATAATACAAGTCTGAAGTGCATATTTTGTTAATAAATGTTTTTTAATAATACCTGTAATTTATTAATAATATTTTCTATATATGAATATCTGATTTTATAAAATTTTAATGTTTTATGGATGAGTATTTGACTCTTAAAAAAATGTCAATTAAGCATATTTATTTTACATGCATTGTAGTTCATTATGGTTCGCAATTAATTAAAAAATTATTCACAAAGTTTGGCTTGTGTAAAAAAAATGTTTATTTAATATTAAAATTCTTTTTTATAGAGTGTTCAAAATTAATTTAACATAATCATATACTTTACATAAAGAACATGGCCGGTGCAAGGGCCATGCGAGTTATGTAGTCGCATAGGGTGCCGGCTTGGCTGGGGCGCTGCGCTGCATAGCCAATGTCTTTTTTTCTGATTTTATTTTGAATCATTTTTTGGAGAACATGAGATCGGAAAATGAGCTGTATAGTGTTATTATAAATGTCATGGAACTGGTAGAAAAACTGGACATCAATCCAGGGCCAGCCCGAAAAGATCTTGAAGAAACTTTGCCGACTACCAACTATAGATCCACTTTTGCCAACTCCAGCGTATATGCTGGCTAATAAATTTCCTATGGAGGCTAGTCAGCCTCTACTCCTCCCTTCGGGGCGCCTCTGCATCAATCTAAAGTTCTCTGATGAAGTTGTGGTCAATCCAAGAAAGATCAAAGAGCAATTTTATTATGAAGATAAACCTGTGAAGTCAATAATTTTTTTGAATTTCTTTTTTATAGTTTTAGATATTGCAATTTATGAAAAATTTGAACAGATGCAAAATTCCTCTATAACATAAAAAAAAAGCAAAACAAATGCAGTTAGAGAGAAGTGCAAAAAATTGCACTTTATTTTGGCAGTTGATGGCAAAAGCTCTTGTGTGATCTGACCGTGCGCCTTGTAAGATCTCGTCGTGTTGACGTCACTCTAGAGTGACGTCAACACGACGAGATGACAGTATGAATTGTTAGGCGAAATTATAATCTTAGCTCTAATGTTGCCAAACGATAGATAGAACAATTGCTTCCCCAAAACAATATTGTCAACATTTTCAAAAGTATTTGATTGACATCATTCCTAATGTGTGCGTAATATTGGAAATTTTGCTTTTGTTACCATATCAGTAGCCAGCGGAGAAAGGAGTTTTTCTAATTTATCAATTTTTAAGAAACAGTTATGTTAGTAACATTCTATTTAAAAATAAATAAAAGGATAAACTTTTATAATATTTTTTTAAAATATTTTTAATGGATAAACTTTTTTTATAAAAGGGGGCGCCAAACCGTAATCTCACATATACCAAAAAAAAATCTTTGAACCGGCCCTGATAAAGAGCTAGCCGAGCAAACATTCCACATAGTTTTTCTATTGAACTATATAGGCATTTTGTGTGATCTGCTGTAGTTTTTCTCATTGGTCAGTTAATAGACCGCTTGTAGCAACCGCCAAAAGTGGCTAACCAATGATTACCCGCTATAAACATGCTAGAAAGTTATCAGCTTGTCATTTTATGGTTCTGAGGCCGGCTGGTAGTCAGGTTTCCCGAACTCTGTGGTAACTCTCAGAGAGACTAATTCCATCAACAGATGAAAAATATCAGAGTACTAACAGTGCCATGTTGCGCATGGATGTTGTTCCTGTTTGTACTATTGGTGTGCATTGCCACATTGGAGCCCTTTGTTACGGCTTAGGGTTTATTAGTAGAAATGAGGCAATTGCTTGGGCTATAAAACAGTGTACTGAGTACATCTATGTTTCGAGTCAAGTTCTTTAACAAATTTAAAAATGAATAAAGTAACAAAAACTATAAAACACAAAAAACCACAGTCATCACCAAGTTCGCTAAACCTATCATTCACCAATATTCATGATCTTCAAAGTAACTTTTCTTCTGTTAAGTCTTATCTCTTGCAAAGTTCACCAGACCTACTTGCTCTTTGTGAGACTAATTTGAGTTCAGCTGTCTCATCTTGTGATCTTAGTGTTGATGGTTATCTTCCTTTAATTCGTAAAGACTCTAATAGTCACATGCTTTGCCTAGGCATTTACATTCACCCTTTTGTCGGAAACTAGGTTTGAATCCACAGACTACTCTTTTATGTGCTTTCGTTCAGCACCACTTCACTCTATCACCTTTCTCTTTGTTCTATATCGCTCTCCTGATTCTTTATCCATCAGCCAATATTGTTGTTGTTGGTGACTTTAATGTTCATCACACTGAATGGCTCTAGTGTCAGTGACTCCGCAAGCATTAAGGCCCACAACTTTTACCTTTCTCAATCCCTAACTCAAATAGTCAACTTTCCAACTCGCTTTCCAGACAACCCGAATCATTTATCTTCTCTACTCGACTTATGTCTTGTTTCTAATCCTAGTCAGTGCTCAGTTTCCCCACACTCACCCTTAGGTGCTTCTGATCATGGTTTGGTGTCTCTAAAACTATTATCTCATTCTTCTTTACCATCAGAATCCCCCTATCATTGTACATCTTACAACTACCTTAAAGCTGACTGGGATTCTTTCCGTGATTTTCTTCGTGATGGCCCTTGGGTAGAAATCTTTCGTCTTCCTGTTGACAAATGTGCTTCTTATATAACTTTGTGGATTCAGGCTGGCATGGAATCCTTTATTCCCTCTCGACAATTCCAGGTCAAGCCTCACTCTTCTCCATGGTTTTCCTCACATTGTGCTGCTGCAATTGCTAATCGAAACCATTACTTCCATATCTATCAGCAAAACAATTCTCCAGAAAACAGACGTCTGTTTATTACTGCTAGGAACCATTGTAAAAAGGTTTTGTCTAACGCCAAAGCTCGCTATTCTCAGATCATGAAATCTCGTATTTCATCACAAAAATTAGGCTCTCGTGACTTTTGGAGAATCTTTAATAGTATCAATAATAAAGGCTACTCTATAATTCCACCTCTTTTGTACGGTTCAGACTTTGTCACCTCACTTAAAGACAAAGTTGAATTGTTTGCCAAGAACTTTTCATCAATATTATCTCTAGATTCCACTAGTTGCGTTCTACCTAATATAGCCGTCAAACAGGTTGATCCACTGCTTGACATCCATATCACTCCAGCTTCTGTATCTAAAGTGATTTCCTGCTTAGACTCTTCTACAGCTTGCGGCCCGGACAACATATCTGTTATAGTCTTGCAGAAGTGTTCTCCGGAGCTGTCGTCTATCCTTTCAAAACTATTTAACAAGTGCTTATCAGAGTCTTGTTTTCCAGCCTGGTGGAAAGCAGCATCTGTTATCCCTATTTTTAAAAATTCTGGAGAGTGATCTGATTCGTCTAACTACCGTCCCATTAGTCTTCTTCCTATCATAAGCAAGGTTTTTGAATCTTTAATTAACAAACACTTAATCTCTCATCTCGAATCTCATGACCTACTTTCTGATCATCAATATGGATTTCGATCTTCTCGTTCTACGGCTGATTTGCTAACAGTAAGAACCAATAGGTTTTATCGCGCATTAGATTAAGGTGGAGAGGTTAAGGCAATCGCTCTTGACATTTCTAAGGTGTTTGATAAAGTTTGGCATGCTGGTCTTCTCCATAAGCTTTCTTCTTACGGTGTATCTGGAAACATCTTTAAGATTATCGAATCTTTTCTTTCCAATCGTAGTATAAAAGTTGTCCTCGATGGACAGCACTCTTCTTCTTACTCTGTAACCTTAGGGGTTCCTCAAGGTTCAATTCTTGGCCCCATACTCTTTTTAATTTACATTAACGATCTTCCAGATATTCTCACATCTAAGGTGGCACTGTTCGCTGATGATACTACCATTTATTCTTGTCACAATAAGAAGCCAAATCCTTCTGATTGCTTGCAGGGGGCATCTGAGCTTGAAAAGGATCTCACTTCTGCTCAGCATTGGGTTCACAGTGGCTGGTGAACTTTAATTCAGATAAAACTCAATTTTTTTCAGCCAATCGTTATTGCAATAATTTAGACCTTCCTATATTTTCGGAGTGCCAAAATAAGATCTTGGTACAAAAAAGGAGACTGAGAATGCAGTACATGAGTTAATCATTTAATGGAATCTTACAGGTAATGTAAAATGTACGTGCTTTGACACAACTTCATCAATCACCAGTTGTAAAAAAGGAGCTTGTGTCTTACTTAAACAAAATATGGAAAATGATTTGTTACAGTGTCCTTGTCAACATTATATCCTTGAACTTGTGTTGAAAGCAGTGGTATCCACAGCATTGTCAGCTTTATCAGGTCTTGAAATTCATTTATTAAAATGATTTAAATTCAGAAAGCCTGGGGTTTATCACATGTCAAGAGACATTTGTTCCATGAAAATCTGTGTGTTTAAGTCAGTTTAATATAACAGCTGTGGAAGAAACAAAAATAAAAGAAATTTGTCTGCTTTCTGTTGTAATATACATTAAGCATGGGTTCTTGGTTCCCTGTGCAGGAAGTGCTCCACGAAATGGAGTCTTCTCAAGTCAGTCTCAGTCTTCTCAAGATTCTTGATAGCCTCAAAAGTACAAATGAAGAATTGGCAAATGTTGCACTATACAAATTTAAGAATTGTTTGTGGTATCTTTCTAATGTGTTGATTACATTGGCAATTGACACTTTAAAGAGTTAGAACTCAATAAGAAAATGGTTTTTAGAATCCTACTAGAATTTTTAGGATTACTTCTACTATAAAAAAAAGTGAAAAAGTGAGGCTGCTGCACTTCCCGGTTGTCAAAGTAACCAGCAAACTTCCTAAATATGATTTTACTCAATTTTTTGAAATTCTACAATTTTCTATTAGCCAATGCAACCCCTAAGTATTATTATTTTAACGTACGATTCCACACAGATACGGGTCTCTTTGAAGAGACCCATATCTGTGTGGAATCCCTACTCTTTATGATAAGAATATAATTGTTATTCTTCTTAATTGATATAATAATGATATAATTATGCTTCTTACTATATAGAGCTTTTTATTGTACAACTAAACGGTTTTATGATGTTTTATTTTTAATTCATGATTCATGTTTTACTTTATAATTACCATGTAATACAAATATTTTTATACTCGTATTCTTGTTTTTTACTTTAAAAAGCATAATAAAATGTTGTTAATAATAGTTTAAATTAAAATTTAAACAAAAGTGTTTTGTAAATTTTTTAACTTTCTCATAGCATAGTTTATTTGTTACCTTTAGCATTATGGACACAGTTCAATGTTCATTCTAGTTGTAATTTTTCTGAAATTATGAATAAATCAAGTAATTGTAACAGTTCTAGTTATAATGGGACGTGTAAGGGGCATAAATTTGAAATAATTCAATGGTTAGGTAAGAAATTTAAATAGTTTGTTCTATTAAATATTTTCCTTTTTTCTAATTTTTTATATTAGATAAATTTTTTTAAAGGGATAACGTTGATTAGTTATCAGATTAATGTTGATCAATGTTGATTAATTTTAATATCATAATTTGGCACCATATATCAGTAAAAAGCTTAAATTTAAATAAACTTTTCATTGCATTAGACAAGAAAAAAGACCAACCTTTTCTATAATATTTTTGGTTTTTATGCTTTTTAAATGTTTTTTAAAGTTTCGTTTTTCTTTTACTAATTTTCATACCTCTGCATTCTACCACCATGATTTCCTGTGTCATATTATTGAAGCTGGAGTGTTGCTACATCGACTGTCTTATAGTCTGCTGCTACAAGGGTGTGCTGTAGCCCATCCCATTTTGACCCTTATGAACTAATTTTAATACGTGAAGTGACGTAAAATATTCCTAAGGTATTGTTTTCTTTATAAAATATTTTTACTTTTAATTTAAAATGACTATTTATATTCGCGTTATTTGTTTAAAGTTTAACATTTTTACATTTTTTGAATTTTTACGGGCATTTTCAAACAATTGGCGTGAATAGAAATTTACAAATCATTAACTATTTGTTAATGATTTGTAAATTTCTATTCTTGCCAATTGTTTGAAAATGCCCATAAAAATTCAAAAAATGTAAAAATGTTAAACTTTAAACAAATGACGCGAGTATAAATAGTCATTTTAAATTAAAAGTAAAAATATTTTATTAAGAAAACAATACCTTAGGAATATTTTACGTCACTTCGCATGTTAAAATTAGTTCATAAGGGTCAAAATGGGATGGGCTACAGCACATATAATAACGTCATTACAAGTAATGAAAGGTTTTTATCTATACTGTTTGTGCGCATTTTTATTACTATTATTTTTGTTATTTGGTGGTATTTTAAAAATGCACAAATTCATTATGAAATTAAAAAAACATGGTTTTTAAACACAATAGTGTTGAGGCCCAATACACAGCAATTAGAAATTTGTTATACTTTTTATCTCATACAGTTCACCCACTTCATACCCTGGCTATTTAAAAGGAGTTTGTACAAGATGAGCTAAGTTTTCTGGCCGACCGAAAAAAAAATTCTCATTTAAAAATTAAATACATATAGACTTTTGAGAAGTGCAGAGATTATTGTGAACTTGCAGAAAAAATCAGACCATTAGGTGAAAATTGACAAATATTGATTAGCAACTTGAATTTCATGAAATTCAAGTTGCATTTCTATAAAATCAGGCAGGTTTTTATTTTCAGTAATAAAATACTCAAAGAGATCAGTATAATGGCTGACTAAATTTCTCTTTTCTTGTAACTGCGGTTTTTGACATGCGACTTTTCTAATTCTGCAATTTTTTAAAGTAAAACCTGATTTCATAAGTTTTGATGTTTTTAGTCTTATTATTTAAGAATAATTTATGACATAAAGTAACAAGTTGTTTATAAACAATGATTTGCAAAATGGTTTAAAATCAGATGTAAAATACAAAGAAAATAACTCAACCAGTTTTTTTTTTCTAATGACAGACTTTTTTTTTTTTTAACATCTTCACTTCCAAAAAGACTGCAAGCAACCACTAATTAGAGTTGACAGTTACTGGAAGAGAAAATATGAAGATTGTAGAGCAAGATAACAATTGACAGACGACTTAAAAGATTGCAAATTATATGAATCAGGAAAGCAAGATAAAGGAAGCGAATTCCAAAGAACTGATGTTCGAGAAAAGAAACTAGACGAATAAGAGTTTTTGGAGCACTTAGGAACAGTAACAGAAAAAGGATGATACTTAATTGAATGATGAGTAACACGAGAATGAATTTTAGTAGATGGCACAAGAGACGCTAGCTCTTTAGAGCAGTGCCCATTATAGTATTTGTAGAAAAGAGAAAAAAAAGCAACATCTTGGCGATGTGACAAAGGTTGAAGGTTGGCTGCAAGAGCAGGTCCAACTATGTTTACAATGTGTTTTTGCACCTTGTATAAAAGAGAAAGAGCATCGTTGGAAGATCCGCCCAGATATGACAACAATATTCCATACAAGGCCAGATTTGAGATTTATAGAGTTAGAAAATATAATCTGAAGTAAGAAAGTGTTGAGCTTGATAAAGAGGTGCAACTTTAGCAGATGCTAATTTTACAACAGATTTGATATATGGTTACAAAGAAAGACCGAAAGTAAGAGTTAATCCTAGAAGATGAAGGATAGATGACTCATCAAGTACATTACTGTTTGTAAATATAGGAAGGTCTAAATTATTGCGGTAATGATTGGCTGAAAAAAATTGAGTTTTATTTGAATTAAAGTTCACCAGCCACTATGAGCCCCATGCTGTAGCAGAAGTGAGATCCTTTTCAAGTTCAAATACCCCCTCCAAGTAATCAGAGAGTGTTGGCTTCTTATCATGACAAGAATAAATGATAGTATCATCAGCAAACAATGCAACCTTAGATGTGAGAATATCTGGAAGATCGTTAATGTAAATTAAAAAGAGTATAGGGCCAAGGATTGAATCTTGAGGAACCGCTGAGGTTACAGAATAAGAAGAAGAGTGCTGTCCATCGAGGATAACTTTTATAAAAGGATTGGAAAGAAAGGGTTTAATAATCTTAAAGATGTTTCCAGATACACCGTAAGAAGAAAGGTTATGGAGAAGACCGGCATGCCAAACTTTTTCAAATGCTTTAGAAATTTCAAGAGTGATGGCTTTAATCTTTCCACCTTTATCTAATGCACGATAAAACCTATTGGTTATTACTGTTAGCAAATCAACCGTAGAACGAGAAGATTGAAATCCATATTGTTGATCAGATAGTAAGTTATTAGATTCAAGATTAGAGATTAAGTGTTTGTTAATTAAAGATTCAAAAACCTTGCTTATGGTAGAAAGAAGACTAATGGGACGGTAGTTATGTGATTAGATGCACCTAAGCTTGAATGTTGAGAAACTTAGCACTGGCTAGGATTAGAAACACCATATCAAAAAGTCGAGTAGAGAAGGTAACTGATTCGGGTTGTCTGGAAAGCAAGTTAGAAAGTTGACTGGTTAAGTTAGGGATTGAGGAAGGTAAAAGTTGTGGGCTTTAATGCCTGCAATGTCACTGATACTAGAGCCAAGCCATTCAGTGTGATAAACATTAAAGTCACAGTCAACAACAATATTGGCTGATGGATAAAGAGATAGGGCTTGGTCAATATGATCAGAAATAACATCAAGAAGAGTGCAGTCTTGAGATGAAGGAGAGCGATATAAAACAAAGAGAAAGATGATAGAGTGAAGTGGTGCTAAACGAAAGCACATAAAAAAGTAGTCTGTGGATTCAAACCTAGTTTTTCGACAAATGGGTGAACTCATTACTATTAATAAACCCTAAGCCGTAACAAAGGGCTCCAATGTGGCCTTGGCAATGCACACCAAAAGTACAAACAGGAACACCATCCATGTGCAACATGGCAGTGTTAATACTTTGATATTTTTCAGCTGTTGATGGAATCAGCCTCTCTGAGAGTTACCACAGAGTTTGGGAAACCTGACTACCAGCCTCAGAACCATAAAACTGAGTTTTAGAGCTGTACCCTCATTAGGAGATAATAGAATGGGTTTCCTATTCATAAAAACAGAGACACAAGCAAAACCCATGCATCGAGTCATAAAGATCCAGCATTCAACATCTATAACCTAAACTGGAAACAATGTATTAAAAATACGTCTGCGCCAGCCTAATAGATAAAGAAGGAGTGCTAGGCTGGTCAACAGATAGAATCTGTTTACCCATTAAGTCTTTGTCTAGGAGGTCTTCTATAAGACAGCATCCAGATGCATTTAATATCTGCACAAGATGAGTATTTTTGTTGAGACACCATCTCTAGCCTTTTCTCAACGAAGAGTCCCAAGGCAGGGGGTTTTTTGTCAGAGTTGACATCTCCTAGCCTTTGCCTAAAAAGGCATATCCTACAAGGCAGCAGGACATGAAGCAGATTGTACTGGGTTACATGTTACCAGTAGCAGGATAACCATTCTTAAAATCAGTAAAAATATAATAATGAAATCAATAAAAATAGCACTTTGATTTTATCTTGTCAAAAATAAATGTAATAAGTATTTAGCAATGTCATTTTAAACCTTATTTTATCTACATTGTGCTATTTTTAATTTATACTTTTATGATTAACAAAATTATTGGCAGATGTATATTGAGCTTGCTGCAGAGGTGAAATTCAAACCATAGAAGTGTTTGGTGCTAGCATTAGCATCTTTTGACTGAGATACAATATAAAAAAAGTAAAAGGTTCTGTATTCAAAAACAAAGGGAGGTCCGAAAAAATATAAAAACGGATAGAATTAAAGCTGAAATCCTTCTGAAAGCAGATTTTGTTGATAAAGACCAGCCACTAGGTCTTGAATTGTATATTTCACCAGGTTACTGGTTAATTTTTCATATTCTAAGTCATAGTTTGAAAAAATGTCTACCGATGAGACTCCCTCAAAGTTTTTTGGTACATTGAATTCCAAAATTTTTCACAGTTGCTAACAACTCATCAGAATTCACAGCAAAATTGTAAATCTATTAAACATAGTTTAACAAATTTATTACTTAAAATTATTATTTAATAATAATTTTAAGTAATAAATATATGACAGGATAGGATATTTATTTCTTAAAACAAGAAACATTTCTTGTTTTAAGAAAAATATTTTGTAATGAAAAATTCAATTTTGCTGTGCTTACAGTAAAATTTATTCAAGATAATGTAGAGCATGTGATGAGCTCGAAGAAGCTTCAGAACCTACTTCAAATAAGGAGTTCTTGTAAAGAATCATTAAAAAAACTAGAAAAGTGGACTCAATGAGCTAGTTACAGCAACTTTTCTCGCTTTCTTGTTTTGAATGGTTCTAATAAGTTGAATTTTGATCCGATGTCTAACTGCAAACTCTGAACCTTAAAATTACATTTAAAAAC